GGCTTGAGGCATAAATGGATGTAATGGGTGGAATTAAAAAGTTTTTCTTCTCTCTCTATCAAATAGGGAAATGCTATGTGCATTTGGACATTCCAAGCCCATGTAGTGTATATAATAAGAAAATAATTATAAAGGTGCGTATATTCCTTACTTCCTTACTCCCCTCTCACGGATGGTATCGCCCATGACCAGTTCAAGGCGTTAAAAAAACTTCTCCCCTTCAAATGGCTGTATTTCGTCTCGAACTTTTTCACGTCGTTATTGCACAAAGTGAGATAGTTGTACGGGCTAAATACGCCGTTTTTACAGTTCACGAAAAAAACACACATACACCGCGGCCGACCGGGTACGCACACGCGGGTGTGGTCGCAGCGCGCGCGTGCGCCACGTGTGTATTATAGGCGTCAAACATGTCACATTTTGTGCCTCGCGCGGGTGAAAAGTTCAAGCCGAAATACGGCGATTTCTAGTCAAAAGATTTTTAACGCCTTGTACTGATCATGGGCGATGCATCCGCGAGAGCCGGAGAAGGAATAAGCCTGTTCTATATGTCTATTCTCTGTTTATAATATACTCTTCGGCAATAAGTGATTTAACTTTTACTGCCTTGACACAGGCATAAAACCGGCAACTGTTTATTATTATTATTATTTTAAATTTTAATTCGGTATTGTAATTCAACCTACAAATACATCTACTGGAAGACAGTCTTGTTTTATGCCGAGAAAAAAGTCAGCATAAATGCTAATAGTGTTGAGGGCAGTTATAATAACATTTTCTGAGTGAACATTGTGTATTCTTGAGTGATACATGTTACATTAAATATTTACATTGTACAGGACTGTGAACATGAATCGACGTGAATGACAATGAAACGCACTGATTGTGTAGCGCGTAATCAGGCGAGCTGTAGCGGCCTGTTTAATCTGCTGTCGGCACTCGCGGTAAAAACGGGACTATTTTTACTTTATATATGAAATCTAAGTAATTATGATAGAGATTGATGACTCTAAAAGCTAAAAACTACCTGCTCACAGATGGTCCTTGAAAAAAACAATGTCCTTGAATGGTCATTGAAAAGTAATTGAAAAGTAATTCACACTTTTGTGGGATGAGTGATAAGAAGTAAGCTTATTTGAACATACGAAAAAGAATTAATTTCGTGTTGGTGTGTTATAATAGATAAAATCTTTGAATCTTTAACGGAACATATACAACCTGTGCGTGCGCGACGACTGTGGCGTCGTCTACTCTGGCCATCAGTCTGCGTCACACTTGGCAACGCGCGAACTAAATATCTCACTAAACTTTGCAGCAGCTACGGCCGTTTTCTTCACCGAATATACCAACGGCTTAAATGCAGTTCAATGTTTGGCAGATGTGCAACCGCATGAATCTTAAAAATGCGTTATTGTTAATATCTTTAATTTTGAACCTCAGACTGCGGACTCCCTCATTTTGCTGCGGACTCCCTCTTTTTGAGGTTGTCCCCGAGTTGAGGTTGAGTTGAGGTTGTCAACTTTTGAGGTTGAGGTTTGACTCCCTCCGTTGGACTCCCGTGTTCAAAAGTTAATTTCTACCCCTGAGAGATTATACAACTAGTACTACAGACGTTCATTGTATTTTACATTCACACTGAGACAAGTGACATTAGCTGGCTTGATAGTTGAATTTAGTTAACTATCTAGATAGTTTACTTTAGTATTGCAAACAGGTTTTATAAACAGCCAAGTTATATAATGAATATATCTATATGTATAATATACATACCCATATAATATGTATATATACACATATATATATATAGATATACATATACATATACAAGCACGCACGCATGCCTGCAAACACACACAACACACACACGGTATCAGGGGTTAATAATGAATTAACATGATTAACCCCTAATGGTATGTATATGTACGTGGGTGTGTATAAAGCAAAGGTGACCGACCTGCTCGCTAAACCACAATGACCGCGTTTCCTCGAATTCCTGGAACATTCCGTAGATTGGATTCAGCACCTCCTGGATGAGCAGCAGGAAGAACTCCTTCAGGACGCCTCCCTGATCCACTGCCTCCTCCCCGACAAACACGACCTTCAAAACAGGGAACATGACCTTCCAAATATTGAATACAACCATAAATATATTGAATCCGACCCTCAATATATTGAATACAACTATCACAATATTGAACCCGACCTTCAAAACAACTGCAAAACCTTCAATAGTTGTACGACGTAGCAAACGGTGAACACAAACTTCAAAATATTGCAGACGAACTTCAATACAGTGAACATAACCTTCAAAACATTGAACATAACCTTCAAAACATTGAACATAACCTTCAAAACAGTGAGCACCACCTCCAAAAATCACACGACCTCAAAAACAGCAACCCCAACCCTCGCAGTCGGCGACGCGCCCGGCTGAGAATTCGGACCCGGGGGCGACGGTGGCGTTCGTCGTCGGTGGCGCCACCTACCTTGATGGGTTTCTTGAGGTCGGACGTGCGCTGCTTCGACAGCTGCGCGATGGTGTCCTGCACGATGTGGTCGCGGCGCACGAGCACGAGCACGACGGGCAGCGTCGTCTGCGCTCCGACTCTCATCATGCTGAACATGTTCTGCATCTGCGCTTCGTCCATCGCCGCCTGCGGGGGCACGAAGGAAGGAAGATGGGGGGGTGGTATCAAAGATTTTTAACGCTTGACTGATCATGGGCGATACCATCCGCGAGAGGGGAGTAAGGAATAAGCTATTCTATATGTTTATTCTCTGTTTATAATATATCAGGAGCGTATAATGACAAATTGTATTATATTTATCATTATACGCTCCTGAATATATCTATGGAATAAGTGATTACTTTTACTGCCTGACACAGCATAAGAACCGGCAACTGTTTATTATTATTATTATTATTATTAAATCTTTATTGTATGTAATTCAACTACAAATACATGTACTGAAGACAGTCTTTTTTATGGAGAAAAAATCTGATAAATGCAATAGTGTTGAGCAGTTATAATAACATTTCTGAGTGACATTGTGTGATTCTGAGTGATACATGTTACATTAAATATTTACATTGTTACAGGACTGTGACATGAATCGACGTGAATGACAATATGAAACGACTATTGTGTACGTCGGTAATCGGCGAGCTATAGCGGCTGTTTAATCTGCTGTCGGCACTCAAGTAAAACGACTATTTTTACTTTATATATGAATCTAAGGTATTATGATGACTCTAAAAAGCTAAAACTAACTGTCACAGATGGTCCTTGAAAAAAACATGTCCTTGAAATGTCATTGAAAAGTAATTGAAAAAGTAATTCACACTTTTGTGGGATGAGTGAAGAGTAGCTTTATTGAACATACGAAAATAGAATTAATTTCGTGTTTGTGTTAATAGATAAAATCTTTAATCTTAACGGACATATACAACCTGTGGTGCGCGACTGTGACGTGTCTAATCTGCATAGTCTGGTCACACTTGCACGCGCACACAACATATCTCACTAACATATCTCACTAACACTCACTAACATATCTCACTAAACTTTGCAGAGCACGGCCGTTTCTTCACGAAATAACCAACGGTTAAATGCAGTTCAATGTCAATGTTCATGCAATGTCAATGTCAGTGTCAATGTCAATGTCAACGTCAATGTCAATGCAGTTCAGGTCACTGTTCAATTGCAACAGCTAAAAAAAATCGCGATAGCTACAACTATGGTCATCACTGGCATCACGAAGATATGTATTCTCAGAGATATATATATATATATATATACGTATATATGCTATTCTACTATGCTGTTCCTATTCTACCGTGCACGTACACTCAAGCTCTCAATAGATATTTGTTAACAACCCACATTGGCAACAGCTAGTGCAGGTAGAAGACCTCAGATTGCTATGATATAATGCTCACACTCTCACTCGTTAAGGGCTGAATTAATAAGCCAGGATAAGCATACGATGAAATGCATAAAATTAAATTAATGTTACACGATTTTATAATGTTAAATGTTATGAAATTACATCAGTAGAGCAACACAACACTAGATTTGCCAACGTATTTTTTTCACTTTATTTCTCAATAAGAATAAACCGTTGCGTAGCCCTGCTCGCGTTTTAACATCGTAATTCATACGACTTCCACGCACTGTACTATAAATTCGCATGCATACTAGTATAAATACCCGTACACACCGTGAAAAAGTACATTTCTCAACGCTTTACAATCTAACAGATCGATAAAATAATTCAACACTGCAATCAAAATCCAATCGCAAAAGTGATTTCCTCCATGCCGAAACCCCTTTTGCATGCGTCTAATTCTAAAACAAAGATCTTAAATACGTGATACACATAAAATCTCTCATATCTGACATCAAATATCACATTCGATCCTGTCCCAGGTCATCAACCTGTTGGGAGAAATCGACACAACCTGTGTCTATCCGAACGAGCAAAAGGGAAATGTCGACAACAAATCAGCAACTAACCTCCGAGTATATTTCAAACACGATTCTCATGCATTCGCACGCGAGTACACAACCGGACAAACCGAAACAAGCGGTGCCACCCAGCGCGCGTATCAATCGCGCCCTCCGACGCGACCAACGGAGGGCATCCGCGCGGCGCGAGCGACGACTGCAGCGCCGCCTGGCGGGGGACGGAGGCGGTCGTCACGCGAGGCCGAAGCCCTTGGTGCAGGTGACGGCGAGCGTGAGTTTGTCTTGCAGCCGCTGTTTGTCCGTGTAAACGGGAAGGTCGAGAAGGTTGAAGCAGGTGTGAGCCACGGGCAAGTAGTGCTCCCCGCCGCGCACCGGCTGGATGTACATCTGCGCAACAACAAGAGAACGTATATGTACAAAACCGTCAAAAATGCGGACAGGTTGTACGTACGTCTGCGCAACAACAAGAGAACGTATATGTACAAAATCGTCAAAAATGCGGACAGGTTGTACGTACGTCTGCGGATGGAAAACGACAAGAGAACGAACGTATGACGCCGTGGTCAAAACCGTGTGGCGGCTTCAGTGGATATTTGTTCAATTTTTTTATATTAGGAATCTTGCAAACGCGATCGATGCGAACTGAATTGTAAACATACTGTACCTTTATGCTCTTCATGCCTAGGATCGGAATTCTGTCGCAGCCCGTCAGGAAAACTGGAATGAGAAAACGAGAGCTAGTGGCTATCAGATAAATCCCTCTCTCCGCACAATAAATAAATAAAAAACAATAACAATAAAGCAGAATTATATTAACGACTGATAACATCATTTAACAAGATTTAATTTCAACTGTGATCACAACGCGTGAGCAGTCGGTAGCCTTTTCGCGACGCAAAATCGAATCGCGAACGGCGCACGAATCTCAATCCGTGTTTGTTCGAACTGCGAGCAGAACTCACGCAGAAACTTCTTCTTCTCTTCGACGGTGAGTTCGTGGAACACTTCCCAGAACATCTTGATCGTCGGGTGACTGCTGCTGTACTCGTCCTTGTAGGACGCTCCCTGCGATGACGAGTAAAGATCAGTGATTAGAAGTCGTCCCCACAGACATACAACATTATCCCTACACAGTATAGCATTATCAAAAGTGAATAACAGAGGTTATTATATTAAATTACATTATATCAGGAGCTTATAAATTCCATTTATAAGCTCCTTATTATATTATATTATTGAGATTACAATAGAGATAACATTATCTATTATTCACTCCTGGTATTATCATAAACATGTGTAGCCTTACATGTTCATGGTACTAATATATAGTATAAGACAACATAATGCAATATATATATATATATATATAGTTATGATAGTTATAATAGTAGTGTATATAGCATATTTCAGTATTATCTTCGACACTGCTCTGGTGGTTTACTGTGCAATGACTGGGATCGCTCCTACTTCTCCCCTCCTTCTCACCTTCTCCAGTTCTTCCCAGTCATAGTTCTCATTACCCACCATCATTGCCATCAGCTCCTCCGGCTGAAATAGTTTCTGGAGAAACGAAATCGACCAAAAATCAGAGTACGTACACTCGAAACAAATCATTTCTTCTTCTAGGATTTTACAATCATCACGAATCATTCTGTTTCCGCTACATTTATTTTTCTAGATCATGCCTTTACGAGCAAACGACGACGAAACAACACCTTCCATCTCCGCGCACACACTCTCTCACCAGTATCTCCTGGTTGCCGGAAGGTGAGACAATATTTCGCTATAGTTTTGTTCTAGATTGTACATATACAAGCAATGACGACGAAACAACACCTTCCGTTTTCCACACACACATACTCTCACCAGTATCTCATCTCTGCACACGCACGTATGCATGCACGCACGCACGAACGCGCACACACACACTCACCAGTAGATCATCTCTGCACACGCACGCATGCACGCACGCACGAACGCGCGCACCCACACTCACCAGTATCTCATCTCTGCACACACACGTACGCACGCACGCACGCACGCACACACACTCACCAGTATCTCAACTCTGCACACGCACGCACGCACGCGCGCACACACGCACACACACTCACCAGTCTCTCATCTCTGCACACGCACGCACGCACGCACGCACACACGCGCGCACACACACTCACCAGTATCTCATATCTACACACGCTCGCACGCACGCACGCACGCACGAACGCACACACACCAGTATCTCATCTCTGCACATGCACGCACGCACGCACGCACGCACGCACGCACGCACGCACGCACGCACGCACGCA